GCGCGAGCACCTGGCCAGACGGGAGCAGGCCGTGGCCGATGCGGCGTGGATGAAGCAGGCCATCGAGGAGCAGCTGCAGCTGGAGAGGGAGCGGGAGGCAGAGCTGCAGCTGCTGTTGAGGTGAGAGGCGATGCCTGCCTGGGCTGGACCCTCCCAGCCTCTGCTCTGGTCCCTTATGTCTCCGCAGGCCACCACCAGGGTCTCCTGTTGTCCCTGAAGCATCCTTCCTTGTTAATCTGCCCATGGGGAGGAGCACATGTTTGCTAGCAGACCCGGCTTGCAGGAGTGTTTCCCTTGTTATGTAAGGTGGAAACCACTAGGGTTTAGAGTAAGGATCTGTTCATTTAAGATCTTAGAAATTTGAAAGGAAATTGTTACAAATTATGGAGATGCTGAATGCTTCTTAGGTGTTTTTTAAATGGGTCTGGATCCTAAAAATCTAGTAGATTGAAAAAATTGAATAACAAGTCACATTTATTGGGCATTTCTTGTGGGTCAGACACCGTGCAAAGCGCTTTACCATCCTCCTCTTATTTAATCCTGATATCCATCCGCAGGGTAGGTGTCACTTGAGGAGGTCACTGACTTGCCTCAGGCCACAGGGCGAGCTAGCAGTGACCCCAGGAGCAAAGTGACAGAGCTCAGGCACAGCAGGGCTCCTCTGCCTCTCCAGGGTCCTGGTGGCTTCATTTGCCATGGTGTCTAAATGGCCTGGGTGCAAGCCATCACAGTTGTGTTTTGTAAGGAGGTGGGAGCATAAGCCAGGCAACTTAAAGTACTTCCTGTAGGAGTACTCTCCATGAGCTAGTCCAGAGTTGTAAACTGTGAAGAGTTTGCGCGCAGAAGTGGGTTTGAAGGTTGGCCCTATGGAACGTGTGTACCTGATGCGCTGGAGCCCTGTCACGTCTTTAGTTCTCGTCTGCCATTGGTGGTGGCAAGGAGCCTGCTGTCATCCACTCTGTGTTCCCAGGGAAGAGGCCAAGGAAATGTGGGAAAAGAGAGAGGCGGAGTGGGCCCGGGAGAGGAGCGCACGAGACAGACTGATGAGCGAGGTAATCCTGGCTGCGAGCGTGTACTGACCCTGCCAAATGTTCTGGAACACAGGCCTCTCTGCTTATTTTAAATAGACTTATTAAAAAAAAAATTTTTTTTTTTTTATGTTCTTGAGAGAGAGAGAGAGACAGAGCATGAGCAGGGGAAGGGCAGAGAGAGAGGGAGACACAGAATCCAAAGCAGCCTCTAGGCTCCCAGCTATCAGCACAGAGCTTGATGTGGAGCTGGAACTCACAAACCACGAGATCATGACCTGAGCCGAAGTTGGGCGCTTAACCATCTGAGCCACCCAGACGCTCCTTTTAAATAGACTTCTAATGTCATTGTGAAAGTAGTATCAGCTTTTTAGAAGAAAATTCAGGAGTACAGGAAGTAAGAACAAAGTCACCCAGGTCCCCATTATTTGCATAGTCGCTGTTACTCTGTTTCCTTCCACTCTGTGTGGAAACGTGCAAACATGTCTTTCTGCATATTCCTTATTATACTATCTGTTGAGTTCCAGCATTCTAATGCACTGTTCCATCTCCTTTGTAGGTATTTTGATGATATCACACTTAATATATCACGTTGGGTGTACTGTGGGGTTTTTTTCCTATTCCCCTCTTGTGGGTGTTCTTTTTATTCTGATTTTTATTCTGATTTATTCCTGAGGTGTTACAAGAAACATTGCAGTGAACATCTTGGTTCATAAGGCTTTCCATTTTTAGGAAATGGAAATTTCCTAAAAAAAATCCTATTTAGGATTTTTTTCTTTGGGGTGCATAACCAGAAGTGGACTCTTGAAAGAACACAACTCGTCAGTATTTAAGTAATGCGTTAAGACGTACCCCAATTTAAAAGGAATGAGGGGCACCTGGGTGGTTCATTTGGTAGGACACGTGGCTTTTGATCCCAGGGTCATGAGTTTGAGCCCGCATTGGGTGTGGAGATTACTTAGTTAAAAAAAAAAAAATTTTTTTTTCAAGAAATCTTTTAGAAAAAATCTTTCATTATCCATGTATTGAAAATTAAAGTGGCTTAAAAATGGAACTATTTGGTGCATGTCATTTTGGAATCCGTGGGAAGTCCGGTCCCAGTGGGGCTCTCTCCCTTCTGTGAATACCGATACTCTGCAACACCTTTGATTTTCCCTATTAAAAACGTTCCTCCTCTTGTGTTGAGCACTGGGTGTGATATGTAATTGATGAATCACTAAATTCTACTCCTGAAACCAATATTACACTATATGTTAACTAGAATTTAAATACAAATTTGAAAATGAAAAACAAAATTCCTCCTAGTTGTGGCCACTTCACGTGTCCTGTCCTGGGAGCATAACTGTTGGGTACAGCCAGTGGCTTCCCACCGTTCTTGATTCTTGAGACCTGACTGCTCTGGATGTGATCCTGTGCTGTGGCCAAGTCTCAAGCCCAGCAAGGTTTCTGCAAGTATTTAGATCCCGAAGTTTGAGGGGATGACCCAGATTACTTCCGGTCATCTGTGTGGCTTGTGGTTTCTTTCTTTTTCTGGAACCTACCAAGAGGGAGTGAGGCTCACAAGCTTGTTGCTGTTTCTGTGCCTGGGGAGGGAGCTCCATCCGCCTCCTTGGATCTTGTCAGTGCCCAGCTGTGTCTCCCTAACGCGTGGTCTGTGTGCATTTTCTGTGTGGTGGGGACGGTTGGGAAGCTGGGCTGACGTGGCATGGGCCAGTGCTGTGATCTGACTTGCCTTCACGTGGGGTATTCGGGCCTGAGGCTGAGGACGAGGCTGGGTCTTGGGGCAGCTGTAGCCTGTCCACAGCTTGTGGAATAGGGAACTGCTAAGTCGAACTGAAATCTGCCCTTTGCCTTCCTGCTGAGGGTAGGTTCTGACCGGGAGACAACAACAAATACAAGCAAAGCTTGAACAAAACCGACGGGCACAAGAGGAATCCCTGAGACGCCGGGAGCAACTTATTCGAAATCTTGAGGAGGTCAGAGAGTCAGCTCGTCGTGAGAAAGAGGAGAGCAAAGAACTGAAATCGGCCAGGAAACAGGAGCTGGAGGCCCAGGTGGGCTGAGCCTGGTGGGGGAGGAAGCCTCAGCAGGGGAATGTGAGCAGCAGGCCACTTGCTGTGGCCTCTGCACCGTTATGGTACCAGACGCGGGGACCCTTGACGTATTTCCACATCCAGGCACTAAGACCTTGTCCGAGAGGCCCACATTTGTGAGCTCAGTGCACCCATTTCATTTCCAGCTGAAACCCCGACCCTCCTGATTCGTTCCGGCGCCACTCCAGGTCCTCCATGTGTGTGGGAGCGAGGCTGCTGTGCCTACCTGTCATCCCTCTCCTGTCTGCCTCCACAGGCATGTGGCTCGCTGGGCCACCATTCTCTGTTCAGTTTGGAACCTGGTAGAGAACACAGAATCTTCCAAGCAGGTGGCCACACCCAGAGCTTTTCACAAGCTGCACATTACCATGCGTGCAACCTTTCCAGTCTCATCAGTGCCCTTCCCTCTTGCACTTGCCATCACTGTGCCTTAGCTTGGATTCTCTGACTGGGGTAGATCCACAGGCTTTCCCTCGTGACCTGAAGCAGGGCTCTGCCCAGGGAGCTCGGTCCCGGCTGACTTTGTTCTTGGTGGCCAGGTTGCAGAGCGCCAGCTGCGGGTATGGGAAGAGGACCAGCAGGAGGAAGAGGAGGAAGAGGAGGCCAGGCAGGCAGAGCAGTTCACTGACGCCTTACTGCAGCAGGAGGTGAAGACGATGGCCAAGCAGGGCTCCTGGCCCAAGGTAAGGAGTCTGAAGGGCACAGGCTGCTGGCGCCCAGCCTGGCCCCTGCTTTCCCGGCCTGTTTGTAGCCCCGTCCTAAGCTCCGCTTCCCAGCCAGCTCAGATTCCTCCCCCTCGTTCCTCTTCTCTTGTGTTTCTACCTTCTCGACCAGTCGGGAGCCTCGACACGTATCTTAGCCCTTGTTTTGGCCTCAGACAGCCCTTGAGGAGATTTTACTCTGGGCCCTGACTGCTGAGGTGCATGTCATTTGGCCCTGTTTGGGACCAGGAGCCATCTAAGAGCTCTGGCACGGCAGGGGAGAGGTGAAGAGGCAGCTGTCCAGACAGTAGTGCCCGGGCGAACAGGGGCCTGGTTTTCCTTCCTCTTAGCACCTCTGGTTGCCCCTCCCCTCCCCGATCCTCTTGTCCTCTTCCATCCTTCCCTGTCCTTGGAAGTACGTGAGAGGCCCCTGTGCACGACGCACAGAGAAGCGAGGGTTGTCCCCCTACTCCCAGAGAGCTGGTAACTAATGAAGCCCCTGGGAGCTGGGGGAGGGCCTGGCGGGCATGTTGCGCCTGCCCCTCCTTTACCAGGGCCGCTCGGCCACCCTGGCGCTCCAAAGTGCTGCGAGACGAAGAGGCTGGCTCCTTTGTTTTCAGGTGACTCTGGGAAGCCCGCCCACGAGACAGAGCAGGTGCTTCACCTGCCGCAGAACTGCTTTGTCCTCATCGGCTGGGGCTCTTGAGGTGCAGGCTAACATTTTGGCACGACACTTTGGACCTTTCATGTCTTGGGAAGGTCTCAGCAACACACAGTCCCATAATAGACATGTAAAGTCAGATTCTACATCAACGCTAGGAGCTGTGGGCTGTGTCCTAGGACAGGATATATGGTTTCCTGTTGCCTCACCCTAATTGTAAGCTCACTTGACCAGGGATCATTGAGTGCCTCAGGATCAGGTTTTCACAGAGCACATGTGGAAATGTTACAAAAAAGGTAATAAAGTACCTCATTTGTGGTTTAGGGTCCAAGCTTTCTCAGTTGTAAATGAAAACAGCCAACTATACCAGGCTTTCAGCTCTTATTTCGGTTGGGATCAATTCCCAATGCTCCAGAGACTGCTGATCTAATCAGGCTTCTGTTTTCTTTCTTTTCTCAGCCCTACGGACATCCCAGAATTGCTTGGAACTGACTTTGTTGGTGTTGGAAGCACAGAGTGAGGTCCCTGAGGCCTTTGATATGCAGGCACCAGACAGCTGTACGGTGTTCGGTTCGAGTGTTCGGGTCGCTGTGTAACAGTTCACTGAGCCTGTTGGGGTCCACAGTCAAACAGCAAGGGCCTCACCAGCCAGCGTTCTGTAGACATGCAGCACCCAGCAGGAGGCCTTTTCCTGCCTTTCGTATCCAAGAAAGGGGCTCTTACAGTCACATGCTGAGAGTGCTGCCGCACGGTCCCATGAGAGACCGATAATTGTCAACCTCCAGTAAAGACTCCAGCTGGAGAAATGAGGAAAGTTTCTCAGTTTTTAAACTTGCCACTTAAATTTCACTATTCTGTCGATAACAGACTCCTAAGTGTCAGTTCAGTTTCTTTCACAGTTTATTAATTTAGTGGCCCCAAAAGGATCATGTCTTATTTTCTGGAAGAAGAAAAGCTGTGAACTCTGAGACAGTCTGATGTGCTCCACGGATGCTTTCCGGAAGGGTGTCGAGAAATAGGTCTTTCCTCCTTTAGGAAACGTGGTGGAATTTCCATGGAGCACTCTGTGTGGTGATCCCAACATGTATGTTAGTTACTAAGCCCCAAAAGGGGGCCTCAGAAGGCCACCTGGTTGACTAACGTTTTGGCACGACACTTTGGACCTCTTATGTCTTGGAAGAAGGTCTCAGCTACAGGCAGCCTTGTAGGATTTATGTGCCCAGAGGAAGGGGCACGGGGCCTGAAGACTAGATCACACTCAACCAGATCGGCCAGAACTTTCTTCTCCCACTGTTCTAACAATGTGACACAGTTCTAGATTAATCTCTACAAATAGCTACAAGTTCCTTGCAGCAATAACCCTATTTTTATTTGTATTTTTTTTTTTCATATTCTTCCTCTGAGGTTTCAGTTTTCATTATACTGTATTTAAGGTTCCACATTTCAGTAAATTATAGCTAATTATAGATAGGGCTGTGTGCCAGGTTGTTAAAAACCAGAGTTTATTTTTTAAAAATCCTGAGTGTAAAGGCTGCATTGCCTTTCACATCCATTGTGCTATAAAAACAAACGGAGCAGCAAACTGCATCCTTAATCTGTTTTTCGTTTTCTTGTCTTGAATTTCTTTGGATAGGACCCCCTGAGCACCACTTTCGTTATGCTTGCTCATATTTGCTTCCTCCATTTCAGATGTTCGTTTATCGTGAAATAAAGTTTTGGTCTGACAGCATGGCTTCCAGACTTTGTTACTGTTGCTTGTATTAATTATCGCAAAGTGGGTTGTATGGAATGATAGATTTTTACTGATTTAATCCATCTCCTACAGCTTTCCATATTTTCTATGACTGCTCACATTTTCTAGGTTCTACTCATTTTTCTTGTGAAAGTGGTGTTGTCTCCCATCCAATTTCCACTGGATCCTCTTTTAAGTAAACCACAGGGAATTATTAGGAATCCTATACTGTCTGAGCTCCAGTACAGAGTAGATGTGGACAGATGGGAGATAAGAACATAAATATTTACTGAATATTTTTTATTTCTTTGAATATCTTGTTTTGGAAGCCTGCTGGTAATATTCCTTATCGGCACTAAAAATCTGTGTTGTGCTGGTTCTCTACCCTAATTCAGTTGGTTAAGCGTCAGACTCTTGGTTTCAGTTCATGTCATGATTTCATGGTTTGGTTGGTGGGATCCAGCCCTGCCTTGCTTGGGCTCCAGGCTGACTGGAGGGAGCCTGCTTGGGATTCTCTCTCTGCCCCTCCCCCGCTATCTATCTCTGAAAAGAAAGAAACAAAAAATAAATGTTTCTTTAAAGGAAAAAAAAAAAATTCCTAACCTCGGCCAAAATAATTGTTTCTAAGTTTAGAGCTCCCAGGATAGCCCACACAGTCCTCTTGTCTCATGTATAGTTTGTGCTGTGATTACGTATGTATATCGGCTTTATTGTTTTTAAGCACCTTTTTCTACTCCCTGTAAAACTAGTGATTTCTTAGGTTATTCTTCACAGATCTTCTGCGCAGTTCAGTTCCTTTAGAACAGATGGTGCAGAAGCCACTACTAATATAAAATGCTTATTTTTTGTATTTTTACTCTTTCTGCTCATTCAGCACATATTCTGGGTTAATTCTTGAGAAGGGTGTAAGGTCTGTGTCTGGATTCATGTGTTTTTGGCCTGTAGGTGTCCAGTTGTTCCAACACCATCTGTTGTATGGACTTTCCTCCTTTGTCAAAGATCAGTTGACTGTATTTATGTCAGTGTATTTCTGGGCTCCTCACTCTGTTCCATTGATCTGTTTATTCTTTCGCCAATACCACAAACTTCTATAATCAATACCACTGTCTTGATTACTGTTGCTTTATTGTAAATCTTGAAGTCAGGTAGTAGCATTTGTTCTTCTCCTTCAATATTATGTTGGGTCTTTTGCCTTTCCACATCAACTTTAGAATCATTTGTTCAATATCCACAAAAGAACTCGCTGGAATTTTTTTTTTTTTAAGTAGTCTCTGTACCCAACATGGCACTCCAACTTGCAACCCCGAGAAGAAGAGTCAGTCGCACGCTCCACTGACTGAACCAGCCAAGTGCTCCAGTTGCTGGGAT